TAGATAGATAGATAGATAAATAGATAGATAGATAGATAGATAGATAGATAGATAGATAGATAGATAGATAGATAGATAGATAGATAGAGAGATGAAGTCACCGGACGACTAAATTTTCAGAGGAACAACACTATCCACGCAACATTGAACTAAAGCGAAAAACAAAGAAATGCTGTCATCGATGAAATGGGACGACAAATTCCACCCCCCACCTCACACACGTACGCACGCACACACACATGCACACTTACACAAACACACACACCTACACAGACACTCACACGCACACACACACTTACACACACACACACTCACACACACACACCAACACACACATACACACATACTCACACACACACACACACAAAGTCTGTTCACCCAGTAACCTACCTGTCCGAATCAGAAGCCAAAGAAGTCCGTCTGCTCCCTGCGCTGCTGCCGGAAGACCTCCGAAGGTCAAGGGCGAGTGCGCCGAGCATCATGTGATCAGAGGCAGACGCGTAAGACGTTCGTCTGCTCCCGTAGTCGACGAAAATCTGGGGAACCACGAATGGCGGCTCGTCTCTGCTTCTCTTCCGTATCATTGGGCCGATGATGAGGCTCTTTTTCTCTTCCTTCACTTTCTTTTTCTTGCATTTGCCTGACAGGAGGATAAAAAAGTTTGATTAAAGGTTTGAATTAAGCTAAGGGCACTGCCTGCATTACATAGAAAGACAGAGAATAAAATGGTTCGGCCACCTGTTGCTATGTCACCTGGCCAGCCAGCCTCGAGAGCCTACAACACCAAGCACTCAGGCTATAATGTAAGAGGAAGGCCACGGAAAATGTGGATCAAGGAAACCCTGAGAAAACATAAAAATCCTAACTGAAAGAGCTGCGGAGCTGGCCTACCATAGAAAACTGGATCTCTCCTCGACGTTTAACGGCAACAAAGGATGAAAAAGTAAACGTTAGTAAGTATTAAGGAGAAGAATAAAGATACAAGAGTGAGTCATCATCACTAGGTGCAAGATCTGCAATAGACATGGCGTCACCGATTAGTATTCGCCATTCATTCCTTTGCAGGGATGTTCTTTAAAAAAGCTATATTTATCATATCATCCCGATTATTCCCTGTCTCCCATCTGTTTAGGCTTTCCAAGTAAGTTGCTCTGGGTCTACCCCTGCCCGTAAGAGACACATACAACTTGGAGTAAAAGCAGCGCTACAGTCGAGCTGCAGAAAAGTAAAGATGGGCACATCTAAAATAAATAATGGAATGAGGGATGTTTTCTCAGGCTGCATCAGTAAAAGCGTTTTTGGGGGAAATTCGATCACGGTAGAATTTTTTTAGCTTTGAATCCAAGACGAGCAGACAGACACATTTTTGGTTCTCCGGCTAAAAGAGAAAGCAAGACGAGTTACGAAAGAATAAAGATGTATTTGGAGGAAAGTGGGACCAAGTTTTGGCAGCCTCTTACCACAACTCAAAGTAACAATGACACAAAATGGCACGGCTTCCTTTCCTCTGAGGGATGGAAATAGGGGTGGTGTAGGAAGG